GGCTAGGAATCAGATTTGGAGATAGCAATGATTTTTCTCCAATCTATGCAGAACTACATAGCACCACCCAGTTTAGGGATCAGTACCACTGGGTTTCGCCAGTTGGTCTGGGATTCTTCGATGACCCTAGTTCCAATGGCACAGAGCTCCTGTTTCACTGCATCCTTCATTTTTTTGGAGAGTGGCTAAGGGTTCTCCCTGATATTTTACCCTGGCTTCATCTGGACATGGCGTTGAACATGATGAATCTATCTTGGCTGTGATGAACACATCATTGTGAAGCCATTCAATAGGTGTCTCACTTAGGCCCTTGGCTCCAGGTCTAGGTTCTCTCCCCAACTGCATGGGGTCAGGGTTTGGGGAGGCGGATGCTTGGGGCCACTGCTCTGGCTCAGAGGAATAAGGAGTGATAAATGAGCTCTCCTGCTCCTTCCAGGGTTTCAGGAGGTTAATATGGTAGATCCTCTTGTCAGGTTATCAGATCTCATAATTAACTAGCCGTATGTGATGAACTACTTCATATGGTCCTTGCCATTTAGAGAGTAGTTTGATATTGGCTCACTCCTGAGACTGCTGAGCACCAAGGAGGGTTTTTTTTGGTGAAGGTCCCTAGGGTCTTGAGCCTCTCCTGGAGCTTTAGTATATACTGTACAACATTATCTGTTCTAGGAGTTTGTTCCTCACACATCTTATGGATTAGAGGAAGAAGACGCTGGGATTGTCTGAATGGGGACTAGATGACTAGGAAACCTCTCAAATAGACAATAAAAGGGAGGGATCAGCTGATCCCACTGGCAGGGGTCCACAGCAATACACTTTTTCAACATCCTTTTTAAGGTCTGATAAAACCATTCAACCAGATCTTCAATTTGCAGACGATAGACATACATACGCAGTATTTTTATTTTTAATAGATCACACACCTCCTTCAACAGATGAGATATGAAGTTGGTGCCTTGAATGGTGATGATCGTCATACGTACCCCAACTCTGGAAAAGATCTTTAGCAGTTCCGTTGCAATAATCTTTGCATGAGTGGGAGTGTAGCAGGATTGCCTCCAGATACTTGGAGGCATAATCACTATTACTAATATGTACTCTTTTCTAAGGGTCCAACTAGATCCATCCCCATTATTTCAAATGGGACACTTACTACAGGGAGTGGAACTAGACAGGCTTTGCCCACCCCTTAAGGTCCTATGAGTTGGCACTCAGGACACGGGCTGCAGAAGTCTTTGTCCTCTTGATAAATCCTGATCCAGTAGAAGTGGTCCAGAATCCTGGCCAGGGTCTTCTCATGGCCACAGAAGGGAAAGCGTGAGCCAGTCAGATAACCTCACGCTGATGAAGCCAGGGAACAAGGACTTGCAATCAAGTTTCAACCATCCAACAATCTTTCTCCAGATGGTACAATTGCTCTGCCTGAAGCTCAAACTGAGGGTACTGCTCTGCTTGATGTGGGCCTATTACCTTACTGTTGACCGCTGAAAGAGGGTCATAGGCTCAGCTCAGGGTTTTGCCCTTCCTCTGATCCCTCATGAAGTCAGTCCCTTTAGTTATGATGCCCTCCCCCTTCAGGGTCCAATAGGGGTATCCAATATTGTTTCATCATTGGGGTGAACCTCTGTGGGAGATTCTGCTGGGCTGGACCCCAGTCTTCAGGGTCCAGCTCCTCACCTATACCTGCCAATATCCAGACTCCACTTCCCAGAGTCTCCTCAGTTTACCCCTCTGAGGGCTTAAATTCTCCCAGTACCTCTGAGAAATGCTCCCAATCCCATCTCAAGATAATGGTGTAGGCTAGCATCTGGGGCAGCTCCATTATAAGGGACTTCATGTTTGCTGTCAATTGCATGTGAGCACTGGGATAACATTTAAAGTTCCCATGAATACATTGCAGAAAGATGGTCCCAAACCTCATAGCCCTGAGGGAAACTAAGTCATCCCAAATCAGGTTTTGATCACACCCAGAATCCACCAGGCCTTTCTTCTCTGTCCCATTTATCCAAATAGGGATAGTTAGTTTAGTCAGGGTCTGCTTAAGGGCTTGACTTTCCATCATCCACATCTGTCTATAACCACACTCCACATGTGGCCTAGAGTGGGACAAGTGTCCTGTGCACCCACACAAGGAGCAAACTCCCACAGCTGGCATGCTGGGCTCCAGCCTTGTGTCTAATATTCAAGGTGACCCCTTCCTTTGTGACTTGTCTGCATCCACCCCCTTATTTTCCTGAAGAAGAGACTGGGGTAGTCCCAGAAGCCTTTGTCTGGGCTGGGACCCAGGGTGACAGGGTTTTCCACAGGGAGCCAATCCAGGGCCCTGTGGCCCGCTGGGTCCCCTAGGGGCTGGCACTTCTGTGCCCAACACTGGACCATCAGGCTGCAAATTGCCCAACTAGGTTCTCCTTTGAATAGAGGGACCCCAGTGGCTTCAGGTGGTCTCTGGTATGACACAGCCAAAGCCACTTCAGCAGCCAGATAGTTTTCCATAAGATAGACTACACTGGCTAGTGTCTCAGGACAGTGTCTGAGTACCCAATCTCTACCCCCGAGCCAGGAGCATGTGGGCAAAATGCTCCACCAAGATGAGTTTGGACACCTCGACTCCAGTCTGAGTCTCGGGCTGGGCTTTTAGTCATCCACTTCAGAAAATGCTCTAGGTCCATGTAGCCATTATCTTACGAAACCAAATACTTAGGCCTAGGTTGTTCAACATTCTGAGTCAATCAGTCCTCCCACTCACTTCTCCAGGGGTGGGAAGGTCATGCCTGCAGTGTCTACCATTTTGTCACTGATGTTTCTACACACTAGGGCACCCATAGGTCCTAAACCAGGCCCCAGAACTCATTTAGGCCTCTGCTCTGCAGTGACCAAGTGTTTCAGCGCACCAGCCCAATCCTAAGAGGCTCAGCCCTCTGGCTGAGCCCAAATAGTCCACCCCTTCCTGAATGCTTCCCTCTGTTCCCTCAGAATAATTCTGTAAAGCTGTGGGCCCAACTAGGTTCCCTAGCTAAGGTCAAGATGCAGTTCCAATATAAGTTGATTCAGTTGATTCATCCTCCCTCCAGGGTTGCTATGCATCAATTGGCTGAGGAATCCTTGTCTTGCTTCATCCCAAAATATTACCCAGGCTCCCATCATCTGCCTCCCCATAATATAGCTATTTGTAAATATATACACACAGCTATAGAATATTTCACACCTCTCCCATTGGCCCCCCAGCCACCAGGAGAATTCAGGGTGGGCTTCTCTCTTCCTCCACAGTGTTAGGGTGAAGAGGTTGTGGGGGAGGAGCACCCCTCTCAGTAGAGGATGCAGCAGGGGCAGCTCTCAGACTCTTTATTTGGAGGGGTACACTGTGTGAACAGGGGGGTTCTCCAGCTCCTGGGACCTCCTGAGGGCTCTGATGATGTTGTGGAAGGACTCATTCATGTTGAGGCAGTACCCTCCGTGTAGGGGATGCAATTCTCCTGGGCTAAGGCCAACGCCTCCTCTTTGGGCACCTGCTGCTGTAGGTCCAAGTTGATCTTGTTGTCCACAATGATCATGGGAAACTAATCCTGGTCTTTGATCTGCAGGGTTTGAGTGTGGAACTTGCTGATCTCATTGAAGCTCCTGTGGTCACTGATGGCACAAATGAACAGGAACCCTTCCCCGGGCACATGTACTGCTTCCACAGGCCTCAAAACTCCTCCTGCCCTGCCATGTCCAGGAAGTTTAGCTGGGTCAGGGTCCCATCAATGCTACAAATCTTCATAAAATAAACGAGGAGTCCTTGTGGCACCTTAGAGACCATAAGGACTCCTTGTTGTTCTTGTTGATACAGACTAACATGGCTACCATCTGAAGCAAATCTTCATGAAAAAGTCCTCAGTTGTGGGATCATAGTCAGAGACAAAGTAGAACTGGATGAACTCAGGACCTACTCTCCTCACTAGTTGGAGCTGAATTTCTTTCTTTTAAGCTCCTCCCTGCAATTCTGACATCTCTCATATGAGCCTTGGCGTAGGGCCACCTGAGCCCATATTAGCTTGTTAGCCCTGTTGGGGATTTTATATTTTATCTCAGGGAGATGTTACTGTAAGCAATATGGGGGAGGGGGGGAAAGTGTTACTGGGAGTGGTGTGCTTGTGTACAGCGGTTGTTATTGAGAATGGTGTGCATGTATAATTTTTGTGTACGTTACAGAGTACCTTCCCTGTGGGGATGGTGTATGTATTGAGCAGGATGTAGATTTTGCTGTGTGGTACAGTCTCTTTTCCCCTCTGGGGACTGAGAAACGGTTTCCCCATGCATGTTACACTCAGTCCCCAGCCACAGCCTCAAAGCAGGCGAGTATCTTGATCACAACAGTCTGAGCTTGCTACACCACACAGCAGCATAGGTCACTGATCCCCTGAGGGGTAGCGTGTGTGTGTGTGTGTGTGGGGGGGTCGCTCTACAGTGTCTCTCCCCCATTTCCCGCCGGAGACCATGCTGGGGGGAGGGGTTCTGTGTCCTGGCTGGCTGCTCCACACCGGGTAGAGCTGCTGTCTCCCCCGCCCAAAGAGTGGGGCGGTTCTACCGCCCATCCCCCCACGCGCAGCGCCTCTCGCGCTCTCTCTCTCACACACACACACACCACCCTCCCCGCCAGAACCCCGGGCAGCTCATGCGCAGTAGGGAGCCGGGAGGTGATGTAATAGCTCAACAGTCTGCTCCCCCTCCCCCCTTGCAGTTCTCCGAGCTCAACCAACATCCGGGCTCTTTACGGTGCACCAGCAATAGTCGCAGCTGTCCTGAGCCCAGGCTTTAGAGAGGAGGAAGGAGCCGCGTGCGCGCTGGCGAGGGGACGGCGGGGAGCGCGCGCGCGCGCGCCGCACACAGCAGGGTGGCAGGAGAGAGAGAGAGAGCGCGCGCGCCGCACACAGCAGGGTGGCAGGAGAGAGAGAGAGCGCGCGCGCGCGGCGGCGGCGGCGGCGGCTCGGGAGCGCGCGTGTGCCGCTCAGGGAGGGGAGCGGGGTCTGCGCGAGTCGGCGGCGGGCGGCGCTGGGCTCGCGGCAGGGCGAGAGAGAGGGAGCGCGAGCGAGCGGGGTGGGGGCGGGAGCGGGAGGAGGGGATGAGCTCTTGGTTCCCCCTGGCCAGAGAGCCGCTCTCCGCAGCTGCCTGTGAATGAACTGAAGCGAGGCCGCCGGCCCGCCGGCCCAGCCCCGCCGCGGATCCCTCCCTACCCCGGCCCGCTCGGAGCGCGGCCCTGCCCCCCCTGCGCTCCCCGGAGAGCCGGTGCCTTTGGCCGCCGCCGCGGGGTAAGTAAGTGCTGCTGCGCAGTGCGGGGCTCGAGTGGGGAGGCGGGCCAGGCGGGCCGAGCGGGAGGCGGCGGGGCGGAGTACGCTAGGGCGCTGAGGGCCGCGCCGCCGCCTGGGCCCCGGGGCCTGTAAACAAGCGGGGGCGGCCCGCTCGGGGTTACGGAGAGAGGCGGGCGGGGTGTGTGACCCCCCCCCTCCCGCCCCCCGCGGAGTTGCCATCGCGGGCCGCAGCCAGCATCGAGGCGGGCTCTGCGAGCGAGTCTGCCCCTGCCTGGGATGCTGCACTTAAGGGGCTGAAGGTGACCAGGGGCTTGTCCCCAGGGCGCCAGCCCCGCATTGCGGAGTGGGGGATAGCGGGGTGACGCCCCCCCCCTTCCGCTCCCCTGGGTGAGAGCGGCCCCGGGCATGCTGCAAGTAACAACCCAGCAGCGCTCCTAGCCAGCCGAGCTCCATTAATAATGGTTATAAACACACACTAGCCGCCGCACAGCACTTGGGGCAGGGCACCATTAAGAAACACATCTATTTATAAAGCACCCCACCCCACCAAGGGTCGCTGCATAAACACTCCCAGATAGTGATTTCTTATTTTCATAGCAGCCGCCGCCTCCTCCACGCTCGCCTCCCAAGGCGAACCATTTCAAGTTAGCATTACATATTAAGGTCTTCAAAAACAATTTTGGGAACCAAAGCAAAGGTTACATACATGAAGCATATGCTGTCTCATTTCCCATGTTAAGAGTGAGTGGGAGAGATTAGGCCCCTTGTAAAACTATTGCCCATTGACGTACTTGGTAATCTTGGCTGGTTTTGTTTTTTTAAATGTCAGAGATGTGGGCTGAGAATTTTTTTTTTCTGCAACCAACATGAACTGTACTAGCCAGAGAGATGTTTAGGATGTGCTGCAAATTAATAGTTTTAAAAAAAATGATCTGATAAGCGTTTCTTTGACATACATACTGGTGAACAATAAGGGACCCTCAACTTTGCTGTCTTGCTTATGAGGGACTAGTTTTAGGGTTGGTGTGTCCTTTGACAAGTTAGAAAGTCTTTTGCTTGTTGAGAATCACTATTGGGATAACATTACAGTTTAGGGCCCAGTATTTCCTACAAAGGAGTTATTCTTTGAAGCAGATGCCTATCTTAAAAGGAAAGACATTGGGGGCAGTAAGGCTTCAAGCTCCACACACAATTCACCAGTGATGAGGGGAAAGATTTCCCTGACGTGGGGCCTAAGTCATCAATGTCTTCAAAATTTAAGATTTCGTTTATAAAATAAGGCTTTATAATCTTATGACCGTGAGAGAGGGCCTTCCAAATGTGGACCCGTGCAGTATTTTTTGGTGTCTTCAGAAAGATTGTTCCAATGCCTGTGCTGCTGCTGATCCAGGCTTTGCCAAGCCTTGGTAATGTGAAACTAACAAGGTTCACTGCTGTTAAAACCTGTGGGAAGCAACTATCAAGAATTGTGTCAGTTTCACACAGTTCTTTCTGTGTCAGTTTCACATTCCTCTTCCTGCTTGGGAAAGCTATGAACAGCAGCAGAGGCAAGAACGGGAGAGTTATTCAGAGGAAAGAGGAGTGAGAAAATTGGGGTTGCGGGAGACGTGAAGTAGCAAAGACCCTTCTTTAAGCTCCTGCTCCCTTCCAACAGTTGGGGTGAGGAGGGATAGGAGCTTCGTGTTTAGTATCAGATTCTTCCTGTCAGCATCCATAAACATGGAGCCCTTGAAGAAGAAAAACATTTTGATAGAAATTTCATCCTTCCCTGCAGTAGGGATTAGGCATCTCACAAGTATTTTGTCCCTGAATCTCGCTTGCTTTATGGGGTCTCCTCTAACCTGCCCCCTTGTTTCTTGTATCCAAGTCCTAGTTTACACTCAGTTTTGCTGGCATAGCTAGTGGACTAGAAAAAATCATACCTCTAGCCAACACAGTTTTGCTGGCAAAAGCCCTAGGGTAGATACAGTTAGACTAGGGGGGGAAAGTTCTTTTGCTAGTATAACTTATTTTGTTGTTGTTTTTTGTTGGGGAACACTTTTGCTGGTATAAGATGCTTCTGGTGTATACAACTATACTGGCAAACTCTTTCTGATGAAGTGAGCTGTAGCTCACGAAAGATCATGCTCAAATAAATTGGTTAGTCTCTAAGGTGCCACAAGTCCTCCTTTTCTTTTTGCGAATACAGACTAACACGGCTGTTACTCTGAAACCCTTTCTAATGTAGACAAGGCCTAACTCTTGATAATAGGCTTAGTCCTCTGGAAAGTAGTTATCTGGTAAATCTTAGCTTTTCGTAGTCAGTATTCAGTGCCTTTATTCTTTTTTTAAAAGTGAATATATGGAAAATATAAGTATTTATTGGGCTTTCTGTGGCAAGGTTTGTAGAGATGTTTCAGTGAAAAACTCAAAGGAGGAGGATGGAGATATCAAGGGATTGGTGAGAGTTGGTTGAAGTTAACATGTCTGAACAGGCATTCACTTGATAGTTTGATGCAAATTCCATTACAAGCAGTATATTATACAAAGTGTCGTTCCCCTCTCCCCCCCCCCCGCCCCGTGAAATCAAGCTGGTTGTTTCTTACCTAGAGTATAGTTTAAACACAGTTAAACTGAGTCACATTCTTGCTAAGACCAGCCTTTTAAAGCTGGCCACAAAATACTTCTTAAAGATTTCAGTTGGGCGTAGTTTAATTTGTAAACTTATGCAATTTATATGTTTTAGACCGCAGCTGTCGATAAAAGGGAGATCTTATTACACTTTGCCATTTTAGTGGAATTCAGATTATTAAGCATCTGCTTCCCAAAGATGAATTAAATATAAACTTTATGTAACTATAATAACCATGATTAATTAAATGTTAAAGTCAGGCCTATTCTAATGTCATAAGATTTTTTGAGTTTATCGGTTTAGCAAAAGTTGTGTAAGAATTGGGTAAAACAAAGGTGTGTCCATAACTTTTATTTAATTATTTTGTCACATTGTAAATGCCTTCTTACATCTTGGGAAGTACAGTCTTACTGCAACTGAATATACAGTATTTGTAACAAATGTTCATTCTTTTCATAAAATGAATCTGACTATTGTTTAATTCAGGGATTTACTGCCCTAGGTTTTTACTTGTGGAAATCTGGGTTCAAATGCTATTTTGGTCACAAATGAGAATAAGTTTAGTTCCATCCTTGATCCTAGTGTCTGTTGATCCACACCATAAAAATGTTCACTTTGGCATGAGTTGCTGTTTGTTATTCAAGTAATTGGTCTCTATAAAAGATGCCTTAGGTCAAGATGCTAGTGCCTTGGCAGAGCTCTGTGGGGAAGCTTGTGCAGCTCCTGCCATGTTATGTGTGGCCCTGGCAATTTAGTCCTCGGTTCACTGAAATCGTCAGTGCTTTAAATGGAGACGGTCAACTTGAAATCTGGTTTATTTTTCATATGCAAAAGTCCCTCAGTTTTTTTGCAGATTTTTGTGGTTTTATGATCACATCTTCACATTTTTAAAGATGTTTTTCCTCCAACATCTTTCAGATATAATAATATATTATAATATTATAAGTCAAAAATCTCACTTCTGTCAAGTTTAAGTTGACTGTCCCTTCAGTAAAGTGCCCATCACTGTAATAATTCCAGGGTACAAAGTGTAAAGCCTCCTTAAATATAGTATAGTGCCTGAAAGGATGCTGGTGAACTGAGAATGTTTGTTGGTTTGTTTGGCTGTAGGTCCATGAAATGCAGTTCACCAAGTGTTGCTGTATTTCATGATACCTAGACAATGCGTGTCATGGCTACATAGGGAGATCGTCTTTCCATGGCTCTCTGAGTAAAGTTGTGGTATAGGTAGGAGGGGGTTTCATAAGCATTCATGATAAGGGGGCGAATTCTTGAATTCATAAGACTAGCAAGAACATTTAAAAGGAGAGGGAACCAAAATGCGGGGAAGGGTGAGAAGTGCTATTGCACAACTGTACTGCCCAGTTGGAAGAGTCTCTGTCTCAAATAGTATACAGTCCAAAAATAATTCTAAAATTTCACATCCAGTAAACAGGCAATTTAGATCGCTGTTTCAGCAGAAATTTGTAACTTATTTAACATATATTTTATCAGGTCCCTTATTGGGTTTTTTTCAGTTGTTGGTGTATAGAAACCTGTTTTGAGGTCTTCATTAAAAAGGATGTTTTCTGGCCTTGTTTTTTGGTTGATATATGAACAGTAGTTTTTAACAGGTGTTTAAATTGATTGCTGAAATCTTCAGGGGAAAAGGACTATATAAGTTCTCTCTAGTAGTAGAAAGGGAAACTCAGGTTTTGTAAAAATAAAGTTTTACCAAAACTAAACTTAGAGTCAAATTTGACAAAAGACAATAGAAGTGTTTTCTTCAAAGATGAGAGAATAATAATTCTAATGAGAGTTTTTAATCAAATAAGTACTCCCCTGTGTTTACAGTAAACATTTCAGTGGGGCTGCTGAACGATTCAGATGCTAAAGGAGCACTCAAAGACGATAAGGTCATTGTGGAGAAACTAAATAAATTCTTTGCATCGTTTTTCACAATTTAGGATATGAGGGAGATTCCCAAACCTGAGCCATTCTTTTTAGGTGACAAGTCTGAGGAACTGTCCCAGATTGAGGTGTCATTACAGGAGGTTTTTGAACAAATTGATAAACTAAATAGTAATAAGACACCAGGACTAGACGGTATACATCCAAGAGTTCTGAAGGAATTGAAATATGAAATTGCAGGACTACTAACTGCAGCCTATAACCTATCATTTAAATTAGCTTCTGTACCAAATGACTGGAGGATAGCTAAAGTGAAGCAAATTTTTAAAAAGGGCTCCAAAGGTGACCCTGGCAATTACAGGCCGGTAAGCCTCACTTCAGTATCCAGTAAACTGGTTGAAACTATAGTAAAGAACAAAATTGTCAGACATATAGATGAACATAATTTGTTTGGGAATAGTAAACATGGTTTTTGTAAAGGGAAATCATGCCTCACTTA